GGTTTTAGAAGAGGTCGCTCAACCTTGGATCACCTTGTCCGGTTAGAGACTTTTGTTCGTGAGGCTTTTGTGAACCGGCAGCATTGCCTTTCTGTCTTTTTTGATTTACAGAAAGCTTATGATACGGCATGGCGGTACGGAATACTTCAGGACCTGTATAGGTGCGGTGTTCGAGGTCGCATGCTGTGTTGCATAAAGGACTTCTTGACAGACCGTTGTTTTCAGGTCCGCCTGGGATCCACGCTCTCGGATGTTTTTACACAGGAAAACGGCGTCCCACAGGGAGGTGTCTTGAGTGTTACCTTGTTCGCAATTAAGATCAACAGCCTCGCTGCAGTTATACTATCATCAGTTTTTTATTCATTGTATGTAGACGATGTCCAGATTGCTTTCTCCTCATGCAACTTGTCAATTTGTGAGCGCCAATTGCAGATAGCAATAAATAGGATGAGTAAGTGGGCTGATGAAAATGGTTTTCGGTTTGCACCAGAAAAAACAGTGTGCGTGCCTTTTTCATTACGTCGGGGGTTGTCGCTAGATCCCAGCTTGCAGATGAATGGCACTGACATAACCGTTAGGCATGAACACAAGTTTTTGGGTGTTATTTTTGATAAGAAGCTCACTTTTCAGCTCCATCTAAAGGAACTGAAGCGAAAGTGTCTTAAATCTGCCAATGTTCTCAAGGTACTTGCACACATGTCCTGGGGTTCTGACAGGAGATGCCTCCTGCGACTCTACAACTCGCTGGTTCGTTCCCGTCTCGATTATGGTGCAGTTGTACATGGCTCGGCACGACCGTCATCTTTAAAAATGCTGGATCCTGTGCATCACCTTGGGCTTCGACTTGCCACGGGGGCCTTCCGAACGTCGCCTGTTCCGAGTTTGTATGCAGAGACACACCAAATGCCACTAGAAAAGCGAAGACAGTTCCTCAGCCTATGCTATAGTTATAAAGTCAAATCTGATCCTGAACACCCATCCTATCGTTGCTTGCAGGTATCTCCTTTTTCACGTCTTTTTGAGAACAAGCCAAGTATAGTACGGCCTTTAAGCCTCCGCATTCAATGCATGTCTACATCCCTGCAACTTGCGCTCCCTGAGCGTAGCTTGATGACGAGAGTTCGAAGCATTGCTCCTTGGAAGGCGGTTCACTATACCTGTGACTGGTCGCTAGCGAAATACAATAAGCGATCTGTTGCACCACTAGTTCTTCAGCAAGAGTTTATGGCCTTGCAAGCTAAGTATAAGGACTATGCACAATTCTTCACTGATGGTGCAAAAACTCCACACTTTGTCGGTTCAGCTGTATATTCAGAACACTTTGTAAAAGCTCGACGGCTTCACTCTGTTGCCAGCATTTTTACTGCAGAACTTTATGGTGTGCTCATGGTTATTGAATATATATTAGGCAACAACATCAAAAAAGCTATTTTGTTTGTGGACTCCCAGAGTGCTATCCTCTCAATTTGTTCACTCAATGATTCTAAGAATCTGCTCGTGCAACAAGTACAGGCAGAGTTAAACCTGGCTTTCCAAATGGGATACAATATCAAGCTGTGCTGGGTACCAAGCCATGTGGGAATTTCAGGTAATGAAAAGGCGGATAGGCTAGCAGCCTCCGTTAAGGATGCTCTGGAAGCACCTGTTCAGCTGCCTCAAGAAGATTTTAAACCGGTTCTCAAAAAAGCAGTTTATTATGCCTGGCAGCAAGACTGGGACAAAGAAATAAATAATAAGCTACATGTTATCAAACCACGTTTGGAGTTATGGGAGAGTTCGCACCATAGAGACTGTCGCCATGAAGTGTTAATGTGTCGCTTGAGAATTGGACATTCACGTATCACCCATCGACATCTTCTTTGTGGTGGGGACACCCCAGTCTGTGAGCATTGCGGTGAATCGCTAACTATACTGCATATTCTATGGCACTGCAAATTCTTTGATCAGGAACGCCGGACGAGTTTTCCTTTACTTTCTGGATATCAATTCCATTTCATCCAGTCTTCTTACTGGGAGATGAACCTTTAGTTCCTTTCGGTCACATTTTAGATTTTCTTAAAAAAACTGGCTACCTGCACCAGTTATAGATCCTCTGCATAGTGCATTGCATAGTAATTCCTTCCTTCTACTATAGAGTCTTTTAATTATCTCTTTGGCACAGCATGGCCTATGTTGCTTTTTGCGCCATTAAACACCTAATAATCAATCAACCCTTTTTAAAATATGGCTTGCATTATGCAGTGGAACTGCAGAGGTCTTTTCTGTAATTTAGATGATGTGAAGCTCTTGCTACAGAGGCATGAACCCTCTGCATTTTGCCTGCAAGAAACTTACCTCAAACCTTCCAACAGCAACTTTCTTAGATCATATCAAGTCTACAGGAAGGACCGCGTAACTACCTCTGGCGCTTCCGGTGGAGTTGCTATTGTTGTAGACAATGGCACTCCTGCCTGTGTGGTCCCCCTAGACACGCCTCTGGGGGGCTGTTGCGGTGAGGTTGCTACAGCAACGCCTTATTACAATTTGCTCCATTTACATCCCCCCCTCATTTGACCTCGAGCTCGCCCAACTTGAAGCTTTAGTCGATCAGCTACCTGAACCTTTTATTTTAATGGGTGATTTTAATGCACACGACCCCCCTCCGGTGCAGTGTCCGAACTGACACTCGAGGTTCTGTTGTGGCGCGGTTTTTATCTCTCGGAGAGGTATGTGTACTAAATACAGGAGAGCCAACATATTTTTGTTCTGCTAATCACTCCTTTTCTTGCATTGACCTCACTATTTGTTCAGCTGCACTTTTTACAGATTTTATTTGGAATGTATTGGATAACCCTTATGGAAGCTATCATTTTCCGGTGTATCTTACTCCCTCGGAAGTCCTGCCCAGGCTGCCTTGTCGTTCCCCCCGTTGGAAGATCTGTTCAGCAGATTGGGACCTTTTTCAGTCAAATATTCCTTCCTCTCTGGATCTTTCACAAGCAGCCTCCGTGGACGAAAAAAATGCTCTAATAACAACAGCAATTGTTGAGGCAGCCCGTCTGTCCATCCCACAGACATCCGGCAAGCTGCCAAGACGTCCAACACCATGGTGGGATAACGAGTGCAAAGAATCCCGAAACCGCCAGAACTGTTCTTGGGCAAGATTTAGGAGGTATCCTACTTCCAGAAACCTCTTGGCATTTAAGCAATTACGTGCAAAAGCCCGCTATATTAGGAAACGGGCAAAAAAGAGATCCTTTTGCTCGTATGCATCTTCTATTAATAGTTTCACGCCAGCGAAGATTGTCTGGGACAGAGTAGGTAGAATGGATGGTGACTACCATCCTTTCTCAATCCCTTTGCTGCTAGACGAGAAGGGAGAAGCATTTTCATCATTATATGAACAAGCCAACGCATTGGGTATAGGCACTTTGCACAAGTCTCTAGTTCTGAAAATTACACCGCAGAGTTTCTGCAGTTTAAGTTGAAGCGTGAGAGACTTCCAATTCGTAGGTCAGAAGATTGCACTGAAGAATATAATTGTCCTTTTTCCCTCGTTGAGCTTCGTCGAGCCCTTGCTGCTGCAAAGCCTACATCCCCTGGGCTTGATGCAATTCACCCTAGCATGCTCTCTCATCTACCTGAAACATTTCTAGTCATTCTCCTTCAGTTTTTTCTTTTTTTTTTAATATCATCTGGGCAAAAGGACCCCGCAGGGGGCACCTGTGAAAGCAGGTGTTTGGAGAGTGGCGTCTCCACGGACCCTGAGCTCCGCAGGGGGCGCCTGCACCTTGTGTGCTAGGTGCTTGGTGAGTAGCGTCACCACGGACCCCAGCCGCGTGGGCCACCATACCCGCACGCAGGGGGCACCTACTTTAGTAGGTGCTTGGTGAGTGGCGTCACTACGAACCCCGAGCCATGTGGGTTCGCCCACCCACGTCTGGCTGTGCGTGGCTTAACCCGTGTCCGGGGAAAAGGGGACCCTGGTGGTTGAGCTGAGCCCGGGGTATGTTTGGACCCTTCGGGGCCCCCCGGGCAAGGCAATACACCGCTTCGACCCCTGCTTCTCGTAGACGGGTGTCCTGGCTTGGCCCGACCAGGATGATTCAGCCAGTCGCCTCTTCTACCCTCTTCTTTCTTTCACTTTTCCTCCCACCTCTTTCTCTTTTCTTGTACACTCTCTTCCTTCCTTTTTTCACCTTCTTAGGCGGCAAGGGCCAACCTTGAGTGGAAACAGGTTCTGTCCCTGCAACCACACTAGGGTATAGTGCCCGGGCAGCACTGGTAGCGTAATTGTGTCAGCCAAGCCCTTCTTGCTATGGCACATTACCTACCCCCTTGTTGGGCTCCGTGGTGGGCGGTGCACCCGGGCACTGAATCTCCTCCCATCTCTCATGGGTTCCAAAGCTAAACCTCCCTCTGATCGGGCCCTAAAAAGGGTCTGCACCGAAGTCCCTCTGAAAGACACGACCTCATCTCCCCCTACATTCCCCAAATTTTTGGTTATTCACTCTGAAGACGATACACCACTCTCCAAGATGTCCCCCTTTCTTGTTGCGAAAGTGCTACAGTCGAACCCGTTTATAACGAACCCGGTTAGAACGAATTATGGTCTATATCGAACACACGAAATTTTAAGATCAATATTCATGAGAAATATACTTTCTATAACGAACCACACATCGGTTATATCGAACTGCGAGCGCCCGCTACCGCCCCCGTGGAGACGCGCGGGCTTCCCTGCAATGCACAGAGTGACAGAGGACAAGAGAAAACCAAGAAAAACACGATGGCCCTTGAGAAGATGAGTCACAAAACCGACTGCGAACGCCCGCAACCGACCCCCGCGGAGGCGCGCTGGCTTCCCTGCCATGCACGGAGCGACAGAGGACAAGAGAAAACCAAGAAAAACACGACCCTTGAGAAGATGAGTCACAACACCGCAACCGGCCCCCGCGGAAGCGCGCTGGCCAATGATAGAGCAAGCGTGCAATGACGTTCTGATGACATCATCCTGCAGCCGTACCAGGCAGGACATGGCTCTTTTGTTCCTAGCGTTTTGCCGAGGAGGCTCGTTGTTCTTTGTGTCCTTCCTGTTCCCGCAAGAGATGGCGACCAAGGTGCGTTCATCGTTACCGTTCTCTACCAAGGTGGAAATAATCCGGCGCGTTGAACGCGGCGAGAAGAAGTCAGAAGTCGCCGCATCCTTCAAGATCGCCAGAAGCACGCTGAGTACGATTCTGAAAAACAAGCCAGCGATCCTGCAAAAGTCCCGAGATCGACCGAACGCCGACGGAAAGCGCATTCGGGCGCCTGCCTTTGACAGAGTGGAAAAGGCGCTGTACGCGTGGTTTTTGGATATTCGCGCTCGAAACCTTCCAGTTTCGGGCCCCATGTTACAGCAGAAAGCAAAAGACTTTGCCTTTTTGCTCGACGTTCAAGATTTTAGTGGCGGATCCGGATGGCTTCAACGGTTCAAGGAACGTTACGACATCGTCGGCAAAGTTGTCGCCGGCGAGAGTCGAGCAGTCGACAATGAAAGCGTCAAGAAGTGGATCGCCGAAAACTGGCCAGCAATTACGGAGCAGTACAGGCCCTGCGATATTTATAATACCGACGAAACCGCACTGTTTTGGCAGCTCCTACCCAGTCGAACCTTGGCACGACAAGGCGAGAAGTGCCATGGCGGCAAGCTGAACAAAGCTAGAATTACGGTGCTCCTCACCACGAATATGGACGGGAGCTCCAAGCTTACGCCACTGATCATCGGCAAGAGCAAGGCCCCTATGTGCCTACGGGGGTGTCGGTCTCTTCCAGTGAAATACACTTCAAATGGAAAGGCCTGGATGACAAGGGTGTTGTTCGAGGACTGGCTGCGCGACTGGGATGAGAAGTTGTCCGAGAGTGGCTGCAAGATTTGCCTCTTGCTTGACAATTGCTCCGCGCATCACTGTGGTGCCACGCTAAAAAACATTCAGCTTCGTTTCCTGCCCCCTAATGCGACATCGGTGCTGCAGCCGCTAGATCAAGGCATCATCCGTGCCTTCAAGCAAGGTTACAGGAAGCGTGTAGTGGAGCAGCTGCTCACCAAGCTGCGTGTGGGAAAAGAACTGAAGATTGATTTGTTGGGTGCTATTGAAATGCTTAGCCGTGCTTGGAGCGACATCGCGCCTAACACAATTAAGAATTGTTTTCGCCACGCGGGACTGTCCCTGGATAACGACAGAGCAAGTACTGAAGAGGCAATCGAGGTTACGGATGACGACTTAAACGAGATGTGGAGAGACCTCGGCTGTCTTCCCGACGCGGTCCCGGATGGCGTGGAGCTGGAAGATTTTCTCGGAGTGGATGATGATGTCGCAGTGACCAGCAGTCCTTCAGACAACGAAATTGTCGCCGAGGTCGTGGCGGCTTCAGCAAACGACGACGACGACGAGGAGGCAGAGGACCCAGAGGCACCTTGCCCGACGCTTCACGAGGCGCTTGCAGCGACGGAAGTGCTCCGTCGCTACTGTTCCCAGCTTCAGGGAAGTGGACTAAGTCTGGTAAACCAGCTATCTCGCGTCGAGGACGAAATTTTGAAGGACGCAGTAAAAGCGAAGACGCAGGCAAAAATTACCAGCTTCTGTCGGTAATATCAAAAGAACAGGTAATAAAGACTTCTCTCTGTCGTAAGTGCCACGACTTTTTTTTCCTTCTCAATTTTACGGAATTATCGTGTTCATTTATTGTCTGTTACCTAGAAATTTTCGGGCTTTCTTAGATGATATGTTTCAATATTGAAATTTATTGATAGAAATATGAATACATATGTTCCATCATGAAAGCTGCCTCGCGATAACACGGCTCTGAGCGCCGGCGTGAGGCTCGCTACGCTCGGCAGCCTTCGCCGCTATTCCGCGCGGTTTCCTTTCATCTCTCTCGCTTTTGCCGTCCTCACGAAATAGCGATATTTGCTATAACGAACTACTTGATATATCGAACTAAAATGCGTGTCCGATGGAGTTCGTTATAAACGGGTTCGACTGTAGAAAGTGTGGTCGGAAAGAACTTCAAAGCCAAAAAGATGCCCTCAGGTGACCTTCTCATAGAAATTGAATCCAGACAGCAGAGTACAGCACTCCTTGCTTTGGATTCTGTGTCTGATCATAAAGTGACTGTTTCACCCCACCGTACACTTAATACTATTCAGGGCGTTATCTCCGAAGATGACCTGATTGAGGCCTCTGACACTGAGATACTTGAAGGGCTTTCTGAACAAGGAGTTGTAGCTGCGAGGCGCATCTCCATGCGTCGGGACGGTCAAGCTAAACACATAGTGTTAACCTTTGAATCTACCACACTTCCCGAGGCTGTTAGGGCTGGCTACCTCCACTGCAGGGTTAGGCCCTATGTGCCTAATCCTCGAAGATGTTTTAAATGCCAGAGGTTTGGCCACGGCTCTCAGAGCTGCCGTGGTAAGGCCACTTGTGCCAAGTGTGGGAAAAATGACCATTCTGCTGACTCCTGCTCCAACGAAGCCCATTGTGTCAACTGTAGTGATCCCCACCCAGCGTATTCTCGCTCGTGCAAGACATGGAAAGAAGAGAAAGAAGTGCTTAACTTGAAGGTCAAAGAAAACCTCTCTTACCCGGAAGCGCGCCGTCGCTTTGCGTTCTTGCGCAAAGGTGGCTATGCGCAGGTGGTGCAGCGGGGACCTGCACCACTGAAGGTTGCAGTGGCAACCCAGACGTCCTTTCTGGACTATGGGAAGCCACGGCAGTCCCCCACGCCCCAGCTGAAGATTCAGCTTTCGGGGCATGCAATCTCAGCTGGACGGTCTTCGGACCCTCCCAGCCAGAGTGCGAACCCTCGCACTCCAACAGGGCAACAGCCTGTATCTTCTCGGGCTGTTTCCCAAACCCAGGATGGGTCGGTGGCTGCCGCAACCGTCCCTCCTCTGCGGTCTCCTTCCAGGGAGAAGGGTCGACACTCTCGCCCACACTCCCTTGAGAGAGCATCATCGAGGGAGCGGCATGGCTCTCGTGCCGCACCTACAGCGCCTAAGGGACAGGAACGGGTGGACTTGGGCGACGCTTCGCCCAGCACCTCCTCTGCCCCTTTGGCTGGGTCTGGTCGCGGGCGGCGCATGGCGCCCCGTTCCCCGAACCCGAAGCAACCTGCAGAAAAAGGCTTGCCTCAGGAAACTGAGGCCATGGATGAGTGTGAAGTCTCCACTCCTGCGTCTGACCAAGACGACATGGAGTGGCAGACTACTAAGAGTAAGCACAAGAGCAAAAAACCGGTGATCCCACCAACGTGATGTTGTACATTCTTTATTGCCCTGCGCGGCAGAGTTGACATTTTTACTTTTACTTGTACCTTACTACTTTTACTGATTTACTAATTTTTAACTTAGTTTTAGAATAATGGCTAAATTTACTTTTATGCAGTGGAATTGCCGCGGCCTTTTAAGGAATATTGACGATGTTAACTTTTTTATGGACAACCTCCATCCTATAGCTCTCTCTTTACAAGAGACGCACCTTAATGATCATCATGTGTCTATTTTACGTCGTCACCAAGTTTTTAGAAAAGATCGTTCCACATCAAACTCATCTGGTGGAGTAGCAGTAATCGTCCAAAGTGGAGTTGCTTGTTCTCAGATTCCTCTTTCTACACCTTTAGAGGCTGTAGCTGTGCGTCTCCTCTTGGACCGCTTCATCACCATTGTTTCCATCTATATTCCACCAAATGTTCCACTGCATATTCATGATCTTCATGATTTAATTACTCAGCTCCCTCACCCCTTTTTACTTTTAGGAGATTTTAATGCCCACCATCCCTTGTGGGGTGGCACACGCCAGGACTCGCGTGGTGGGGTCATTGAACGGTTTTTACTGTCATCTAGTCTCTGTCTTTTGAACAGCAAAGAGCCTACCTTTTTTAGCGCAGCTCACAACTCATTTACATCCATTGATCTTTCCATTTCATCTCCATCCTTGGTGTCTTGTTTCACATGGAGCGTTTTGAATAATCCTTTTGGAAGCGACCACTTTCCGGTTGCTCTGGAAAGCGTGAAATCGATTCCCAGTTTTATGAAACGGACTCCACGTTGGAAGCTAGAAAAAGCAGACTGGGCTCTTTTTAGCCAAAAATCCAAGCTTGTTCCCTCTGTGTTCTCTTCATTAACTCATGACGATGCCACATCCTACATCACAGAGCATATAATTGGTGCTGCTCTTTGCTCCATCCCTCAAACTTCTTCGAAGATCCCCAAGAAATGTAAGCCATGGTGGAATGAGGAATGTTCCACCACAAAGAATAACCAAGATAAGGCTCGGGGTGTCTTTCGTAGATACCCGACATCTGTGAACTTAATGGAATTCAAGAGATGCAGAACTTGTGCCCGCTGGACTCGGAAGCAGGCTAAAGGAAAATCTTGGCGAGGTTACTTGTCCTCCATCAGCAGCTATGTTCCAGCAAAGGAAGTGTGGGACCGACTTCACAAGGTCGAGGGGAAATACCGCTGTTTTACAATCCCCCTTTTTCCGTCTTCTGGAGCCTCATTGCTAGACCAGGCTAACATGTTGGGCACTCACTTCGCTGCTGTTTCAAGCTCCGCACATTACTCCCCAGCATTCCTGAAGCGTAAGGCAAACATGGAAAAGACGAGGCTCTGCTTTACAGGGGGAGCGTCTGCACCTTACAATCAGCCATTTACAATGGTTGAGCTCGAAGTGGCTCTCAACTCCCGCAAGAATTCTGCCCCCGGTCCCGATAGAATTCACTATGACATGATCCGGCACTTATCTAGAGAGTCACTTAGTGCCCTTCTCACATACTTCAATGGCCTGTGGTGTGATGCCTACTTCCCTGTTGAATGGAAGCGGGCTGAAGTTATACCGCTGTTGAAACCTGGCAAGGACCCCTCCCTTCCTGCAAGTTACAGACCAATAGCATTGTCAAGTTGTCTGGCGAAAACCTTTGAAAGATTAATTAACAGACGTCTTATTTATTTTCTTGAGCAACATAAAATCTTGGATATTAATCAGTGTGGCTGTCGTCCTGAGCGCTCTACAACAGACCACTTGGTGCGGCTGGAGACCTTTGTGCGCGAGGCATTTGTCAACAGGCAGCATTGTGTATCTGTTTTCTTTGATTTAGACAAGGCCTATGACACCACTTGGAAGTATGGCATCTTGCACGACCTTTTTATGTACGGAATACGCGGTAGAATGCTTCAGTGTATAAAGAGCTTTTTGTGTAAACGCACTTTTCGAGTTCGGTTGGGAACAACTTTATCAGACTGGTTTGTTCAAGAGAATGGTGTTCCTCAGGGTGGAGTCCTTAGTGCCACACTCTTTGCAATAAAAATTAACTCTCTTAGCAAAGTCATTCCTCCTTCAGTATCTTACTCGCTATATGTCGATGACATTCAGATATCTGTAGCGTCATGTAATATGTCTAGCTGTGAGCGGCAGCTACAACTGGCCATAAATAAAATGACTACATGGGCTGATGAGAATGGTTTTAGGTTCTCTCCGGATAAAACTGTTTGTGTTCCTTTTTCTTTAAGGCGTGGCCTCTGTTTAGATCCTACACTTCTGTTAAATAAAAACAACATTGCTGTCAAAACGGAGCACAAGTTTCTAGGGGTTACTTTCGACCGTAAACTTACCTTTGTTTCGCATCTCAAACAGCTCAAGCAAAAAACTCTGCAGGCATCGAACATACTCAAAGTTCTTTCGCACAAGTCGTGGGGCTCGGATAGAAAATGTCTCCTTCGTTTATATTCTTCTCTTATTCGATCCCGCCTTGATTATGGCTCAATTGTCTATGCCTCTGCGAGACCGTCTGCTTTAAAAATGCTCGATCCAGTACATCACCTTGGGTTGCGTTTGGCATCTGGTGCTTTTCGCACCTCCCCTGTGCTTAGCTTGTATGTTGACTGTCATGAAATGTCACTTGAAAAAAGGCGACAGCTACTTAGCCTCAACTATGTTTACAAAATTTTGTCGGACCCCAGCTCCCCCACTTATAGTTGTATTCAAAACTCTAGGTTTTCTCGCCTCTTTAACCATAAGCCAACTGTTGTGCGGCCCTTGAGCTTTCGTGTCGAGAGTCTTCGCTCCTCCCTCAATCTGACTCTTGATTTTAACCTCTTGAATAGTTCATACCATACTGCCCCATGGAATATGTCAAACCCATTTTTTGTGACTGGTGCTTCACAAAATTCAGGAAGCAAAGAGTCTCACCTTTAATTTTACAACAGGAATTCTTTGCATTGGAGGAAAAATACAAAGATTATAATCATTATTACACTGATGGTGCAAAGTCGTCAATGTATGTTGGTGCGGCTGTATACTCTTCTCGTTTTTCCAAAGTCGCTCGTCTAAATACTTTTGCCAGTATTTTTACTGCCGAGCTGTATGGGGTCATGATGGCGCTTGACCATATTGTGCAGAGTAAAATAAAGAAAGCCATCATCTTTGTAGATTCTCAGAGTGTTGTTCGGGCTGTATGTTCTGTTTTATTAACAAAGAATCGGCTGACCCGGACTGTGCGTGTTAAGGTACAGCAGGGCCTACAGGATGGTCACGACATTAGGTTTTGCTGGATTCCTAGCCATGTGGGCATTGCAGGCAACGAGGCT